CTGATAATCCACTTGTTGTAGTGCTTTCGATCAACAGCAAAAAACAATGATCTATTAAATTTTCACTATTTTTTATTTTCCTTTGTAAATTTAGACATACATATTAACTTCCTACTGAACAGGGTGTTTTTAGCCACATTGCATTTTATAAAACCCTAAGAATTAAGCAATTTAAATACTTTTCAAGTAATATTCATATTTTATTTTTAAATATTCATACATTTTAGAAAATACTCTTTTCTATTTGCGTATTGCTTTGCCGACGGCAATAAACATATTATAAATGTGTTGTGACAACGAAATTGTTACTAATATGACTTTTAGATTTTAAAATAAAAGTCAATGAAGTCGCTAAACTTGAAAACTAAAATCAATTTGGTTTTTATTTTATAAATATAATATTTTTTTTGTTCAAAAGGAAATATGAATAATGGCCGCGCAATTCAAGTTCGCCAAATTGATGGAAACCAAAAACAACGGAAACACGCACACTCACACTAGGGCAAACACACATACACACACACTTGCACAGGCAAACACAAAGGGAAGTATAACAGGAAGGCGGCCATGATTTGCCGACGGCAATTCCCAAAAATCGTCTTCCATTGCGGAGTTCAGTGAAGAAGAGTGAATAATTCGAGTGGCGGATGCAAAATAAGAGTGAGATTCCAAAAGGCAATGGGAAGAGAAATAAGAGAGAGAGAGAGAGATTGTGGGAGAGATTCCCAACAGTACTGGCAATTTGTCCTTTTTTTAAACGATATATCCTTGTTTTCTTGGAATGACCATTTAGAAATATTTTATATTTTAATAATTTAATTTTTATATTTATTATTTGACACAAGTTTTTATGCATTATCAAAGTCTAGGCTTTTAGAAACTGTAAGGCAAAAATATAGCACATTGTCAAAAGTTTCAATTAAAATATAAAAAAGAAAACTCGATTACACACTGCATTTAAAATTATTCCAAGCTATTAAATTGTAATTAGATTATTTTTTAAATTTTATTTTTATTTGTTTATTAATGTTGTTGTTTTTATATTTAGTTTTAATTTTATTTAAGTTGCCTTTTGGCATCACTGACTTTTCCACCCAAATTAAAACTGGAATAACAGCTGCGCTAAGAGAGCCACATTTCATCCTGATTTTCTCTTAAGGTATCTCTTAAACGCACAGCTGTTCAGTTTGGCGCCAAAAATATTACTCTCCCTGGAAGTCAAGAGAAAATTACTCTCTTTGACTGGAAATACCTGTGACTTTGCATCAGGACCAAATGATTTGTGTTTACTTTTTCGTTTCCCTTTCATTTGTTTAAGAATTTCCTAAATTTTATATTTTCAAAAATTCAAAAATTTAATTTCATTGCCAAATCGAACGATACTCTCATAACTGCCATCGTCCGTCTCGCATATTGATCTTGGGAAATTAGCATAAATTCTCCAGCCCCGTATTTGTGGAACGCAATATAAAACTTTCGATCATTTAAGGCAATCGACAAGGAAATTAGATTTTGGCTTTGGTTATTTTTGTCTTTTCGGCCATTCGCACGTTTGACCCCCTTCAAGGCGATCGCTTTTGGCCAACCAGCACATATGCCAATACCAATGCGGCTAAAAACGGGGTTGGGCTAACGATTGAATTATTTTTGCAACACTGGAAGAAATATTTGGTAACTAAAAAATGTAGAAAATTTTATGCTTAACTAGGAATTTTTATCTAATTTTATTAGTTATTTAAATGATCTTTTTTGACAATAAAAAATTTAATTTTAAATAACTCTTGTTTTAATAAAATGATATTTTTATTTCATAACAATAAATTGTGGAAATAGTTACACATTTTATTAGAAATTTGTTTTCTTAAAAAATGGTAAAAATTTAAAGAATAACACAGACTACTTCAGTGGCTTAAAAATCCCTAAAATATATCTTAAAATTATGTATTGCTTTTTAATTTTGTTTTTATTTCTTAAACTCTCGATTTCCTTTCTGAATTCCGGATATCAAATCCTAACCCTAACCCTAAGCGGTACCTCTGACAGTTAAGCAAGCCTTTCAAGCCCCATTTCCAATCAAGAAACCTGGCTCAAATCAAGAGGCCTCCATAACGAAGACCTTCGCATTCCGAGGCATCCGCTCCAGTATCTCAGTTTCTGTTGCTCTTTCTGTTTCTGTCCCCTGTCAGTTGGTTAAGATATCGATATGTGCGCATATATATATATTTATATAGAGCCGCAGTCCCATATCGATTTCAAATTGGAAGTCCCAACTCGCACGGCTGGCAAAACAGGAACAGAAAATAATTAAGTTCTCAAAAGATAAAAATCATGTTAGCCGCAGATCAATTAGTTGATTTTTACCATAACCCAGGCATATATCAATTTTTGTTCGCCTCCTCATCTGCCTCTCCTACGACTACGTGTTGTGCCCGAGGTGACGCCCCCGCCACCGCCGCAGAGTAACCACCCCCCCCACAAAAAACACCACACACCTCCACCTCGCCCAGTGTCTCACCTGGAGAGTGGCCAGCTTAGTGCATAAATTTACATATGAGAATGTCTGGAAATGCTTTTTGAAGGCTGTTGAAATGTGGCTGCAGGACAGGGGGCTACGAGTGGGTAACCGAGTGGGTTAAGTGGTGGGGGAGGAGCCTGGGCTCCTCGAGAGGTTTCTCCTTGGATGTAGCACCTGCTTTTTGGCCTGGAGCAAGATACTCGAGTGGCCGAGAAGAAGAAGGAGCCTCGAATGGAGGCTGATACTGGACATGCACATGCTCGGACGTCAGTAACTCATTTATCGCTTAACTGGAGTTCCCACTCCTAACTCCTTTTTGTGCACAGAAAGAAAAAATTGGGTATTTGAAATACATTTAAACTAGCATCTAAATTCTGTAATAATGTGGCCATATTATTAAGACCACTTAATACTAAATTTAGACATATTTTAGGAAGCAAGTCCTTACTAATTACAAAACTATAAAAAGTTTTGAGGAAATTTAATACTGAAATTTCTCTATTTATAAATTAAAAAACAAATTGTTTTTTCTCCAGTGCACTAACCGTCTCTGTTTCGGTTTCTTTGGCTTCATTTTGCTTTATTTTGACAACGAATTTGCATGCGCTGAAAATTGTGTTTTGAGGCTTGTTAATTTTGACTAAAGTCGCTGCAGTTACGTGCTGCGTTCAGTTCGGTTCTGTTCCCAATCCAAATCCCAGATCCCAAGAGTCGCGGCCCATTGCGTGACTGACCCAACCCGAGAGACTTACGCATGCGCGCGCTTACAAACGCCAAACTGAGTTTCACAAAAAATAAAAAAAAAACAACATAAGAAATTAAAATAAAACTGAAAAAAAAACAGAAAAAAAAACTAGTAAAAAAAACAAGTAAAATGTGAAACAAGACCCAAAACAAAGTGTTCGATGTTTCCGTTTCAAATTCAGTGGAAGAAGACATTTGCAAAGGCCCCAAAGTCTTGGGGTTCGTTCCATTGTGGGACCAAGTTGGAGTCCAAGCTCTGTGGGGACAGTGGGACCGCTGGACAGAGACAATTGGCGCGCAAACAATTGTTCGGTTCGTTCTTTGGTTTGGCTTTGGTCTGCGCTCTTTGGACATACTAAGAAATAAAAACAAGTTCGGTATTTGGCTTTAAAGCAAGGCTTAACTGCTAAGCTGGGAAGAGCTTCCACGCGGATGAGAGATGGTCTAAACAGTGGGCTTAATAGAAAACTATAGTGTAAGATATAAACTGTTTAGATGTTTAAGGTAAAATATTAATAGCAACAGAGTTTTAGGGAAACCCCTTTATTTAAATTAATAAAATATATGTTTGTCATATCTTTAAACATTTTTTAGAGTTTAAAGTAGTTCTTAAGCTATTTAAGATATTGATATATAAAATTTAGATATTCTTTTGGTGAAAGGATAAGAATAATTTTGTAAGATAAATTTTCTAAAGAACTTTCTATATCTTGATTGCAAAGTAATAGTTTCAATCGAATTATGAACTTTTTAAAATCTCTAAAATATCTCAAAATATATTGCATTAAACCTAGACTTCATCCCACTGTGCACATTGCGCTGTTCAACCAACTTGGCGATTGTGGCGCAGATAAAAGAAAGGCACTTGAGCATTACATTTGGCCAAGGCAGGCAGAGCATGCTCTTCAGTTTCTTCCAACTTCGAAGAAGATTTCGTGGCGGCCTAAAAAAACCCCACCAAATGCAAGCAAAATAAAGTCGGCGGGAAAAGTGCAAGGGAATTAACAATTCATTTTATTGTTAAGTATGCTCTCGGGCTGGCTTTTGGCCATGGAACCGGCCTCTTTTTTAGACCATCTTGTTAGCAGAGCTCCTCGGCAGCAGCTGGAGTCTCCGTCCTCATAGTTAATAATGCGATAATTTCAGTTTCATTCAAAGCAAATCGAAGGCAGCAAAACACCAAAAGGGGCAAGGAAAGCAACAGCTACCGGATTACGACGAGCCACAAAAAAAAAAGGAAAATAAAATCAAAAGGAGGGAGCTTGTTGCTGGATTTCTTGGCGTGTTGCGGCAACATGTTGCAAGGAGAAAAAACCTGATGCATGCGCAAAATTTAAATTATGTTGTTTTGTCGCATGTTTCTCTCTTCTTCTTTTGGCTGCGCTTTGTCGTTGTTGAAGTCTTTTTAATGTTTTCTTTTTTTCTTTTTGGGTTCTTTAGGCATTATCAATGAATAAATGAAAATGTCTTTTGTCCAGAGGAAAATTGTTGTTGCTGCTGCTGCTGCTGCCTGGCATGCAACTGCAAAACGCTTAACATCTTCTTTAAGTCGCTGTTTTATGTCACAGCCAACTGTCATTTGTACATTGAATTGCGGTCCCTGGTCTGTATTTTCTGTCCCTCCCCGGCTGTCTGTTCGATTTGCATAAAATCACAGGAAGCACTTAGGATTAATAGCGAGCGGCCAAGTGTCGTGGGTTAAACATGTGTGTTTTGGAAATTGATACGATTGGGGGCTTACCTTATTCCGATGTGCGGCTAAATTGTTGTAATCCATGTAAGTTGACCGCGTTTGTTATCCATTTACAGCGGGGTTAATCCAAAAAAATTGCACTGCAAAGAGGAGAGAAAGAAAGAATTTGAAAATGTTGCTTTGTACTCATTCTCAGGGATATTATCGCCTGGCGCCATCTATGGGCAAGTGGCCGAAGCGCTCGTGTAAAATGTTGAGGGTGGGGAATTTTATGGGAATTTTTTTTAATATTATTATTTTATAAACAATTTTTAATTAATATAATGAAAAAATATGAATAAAGAAAATTATACAATTTAATTATATTTTTCTATGTAATTTTTTGTATATTTATTTGATATTTATTTGGACATTAATAAGGGTATTTTTCCTAAGTTTATAAGTAATATTTCGTTCACATTAAATATTCAAAAATATACAAAAATGTTAATACAAATTTTCAGCTTGTCAATAATTAATAATTCAAGTGGTAAAAGTGGTAAAAGTTATATATTTTCCACAATATTCTAATAAAATCCCCAAATTCAAAAGGTATATCCCAAAAATCCAAGTAAATCTCATAGAACTTTCTATCCCACAGCAATTATCTCTATAAAAAGCTATTTTGCCCAAAAGATCCTTCTGCCCCACCGCCAACTTTTGACATTTTCCCACCTTTTAATGTCACCAAAGTCGGAGGCAGGCAAAAACAGGAACCAAAATCAAAACCAAAACCAAACACCGATCTTGGCAGCGGCAACAAAAAGATCGCTAACAGCATAAAGCAGCAGGAGCAACGAGGAAGCCATTGGCCATGGCCAAAAGAGCCGGAGCTCCAAAGGGTCCAAAGAGCCAAAGACCAAGTGGCAGAGACTGTCAGGTTCAGTTTCAGTTAAAGTTTAAGCTCAAGTTCCAGGCTCAGAGGCAGGCTCGCAACGGAGCTGCTGTCATATCCTTTTGCGGTAAACGACTGAGAAAAAAAAGAGAGGAGGGGACGTATATTTGAGCCAGCTTCTCATTCATTTGCGCCAAATGTCATTATTGTTGCTCGTTTGTTGTGGCCAGTGCCACTGCCTGCTGCCTGCTGCCTCTTTTTGTGGCATCTTCGGGTCTTTTGTAAAACTCCCTCGTTAAACAGATTATTTTCACACCCGACTTCAGGCTGTTGGCTGCTGCCAATTTGGTAAGTGAATTGAATGGGGCTCAGAGAGGAGTCTCGAGTGTAGTTCACTCCTTGCAGGCGTTAATAATGCGATTTCAATGCAGGGGCAAGCACTGATACAAAAACAGAGTGAATTTATGTAAATTTAATTTTAAAAGCTTTACTTTAGAAGATTTGTATTTTTCTGGAATAAAAAATGATTATTCTCCTACATACATATACTGTATAAATTTATATAAAACTAGAGAATGAGTAAAATCCAATGAATAAGTTTTAACTTATAATTATAAATAAATATATTTCAATATATTTCGCTCAACAAATTTGAATTAAATCTATCCCTAGTAACTTTATCTATAATAAATTGAGTTATATTATATTTTAAAACCAATTTTTTAAACCAATTTTTTTTCAGTGACAGCCAAATTCAAAGACTCTCAAAGTGCGAAATGTTTTTTGTTTATATTTTTTAGGGATTCCTTATGAAAGCGACAGAAGGAGTGACACATGTATGCACCTGGTTTAGAAGGTTGCGGTGCCAACAATGGGCAGGCTTCGATTTTGGCTTCGAAACCGCTGATTGTTAATTGCCAGAGGTAAGCCAAAGGATTGTCTGAGCCTCGGACTTTAGTTTTCGTAGTGAGGTGATTTTAGGGGGTCGATGGTGGAGATTAGATTGAAAATGATGATTGCTCACTCTTTCTCGAGGATTTTATATGCAAGAAGATTTATTAAATATTAAAAATAAAGCTTGAGAGTTTGAATAAATTTGAAATAATAATTTCAATAAATTTATAAGGCTTTATGAAGGCATAAAGTTAGATAAAAAAACTTTCTACTAATGTTTTACTTTAAAATATAAATAGTTTCCAAATTTCTACGACAGCTGGTCTCATTTATATCCTATTGGCTGCTCCCTCTGGCAATCAATGTAATCATCGCCAAAGAAAGTGAACGCTCCTATTTGATAGATCACGGGGATTCCCCTCCCTTCCCTTTGGCAATCATTTCGCACCCCAGGCCCAAAGGTATTTCGCGCAAATTATTCGAAATTATTTTTGCGGACACGCTCTGCCGCACGTAGCACTTGCGAAAAAAAAAGCTAAAGAAGAAGCATACAAACCCTTGGAATTCAAAAACAATTTATTTTATTTCAAGGGGGGGGAGATGGAGCTGGGGGGAGGACCACCTAGGCGTAACTGTACCCAAATTCATATGCATAATTTTTGCGCTATTTGCGCTGTTTGTTTTGATCGCAAAAATATTTAAGCGCGATCGCTGCGTAATTGTTGAAAGTCAGACAAGGCAGGGCCAACACTCGCAACACTCGGGGGTTTTTTTTATTCATTATTTTGATAGGCAGGGGGGTGGGTGTACTGACACGTGAATGACAGATCAGACAACCAGCTCACGCCCAACATCAGAAAACATCCATAAATATTTTTGTCATTTAGCTGCCGGGGAATCGGCACTCGATGCGATTTATGGCCGAGAGTCGTAAAAAACCGTAAAAAGCCAACCCATAGCATCGTAAAATTAAACAGCGAAAATAGTTTTTGGCCGCTTAAGTCGCCGTTTGTGATCGAAATATTTAATTAATTGGTCAAACCTCACGGATCGATGGATCGCCGAACCTATTCGTGGGTGGCCTGGCCCAGCCCCGAATTGGAGTGCGTTCGTTTGATTTATGCAGACAACACGGACACATTTAATGAGCGGCATTTGAATGCACAGTCGTCGGTTCACAAAAAAATCGAATTCTGCACTTGTCGCTAAAAATAAATAGCCAGAGTTTGAGGCTTTGAGGGACTTTGAAAAAAATCGAAAAATATTCGATGTCTAGTGTAGTTCAGGCGCCATCCGACGGCTGTTGGCGGAACTAAGTGAAAGAAAGTTTCGGAAAAAAAGGATATTTCCATTTGGGTTGCTGTCTCTGCTAAAGGATAATGGGGTGTTTCGGAGTCAAAGGACCTGTGTTTTTCGAAGCTTTTGCTTGGAAAGCTTTTATGTGTGGAATTTATTTCCCAGTTTGCTGGAGAGTCTAAAGCTCAGGACATTTTTCTGTTGCTGAACAAAGCTTTAAGGATTTTAAGGATACAGGATGTAAGGACTATGTCAAATTACATGGAAATTGTATTTTTACATTTTACAATTTAATATTTAAAAAAATTTTTGTTCTTTCTTCACGATTAAGTGTTATTTTTTTAAGTATGTAAATATTTAAGGATCTTAATTTAATAAAAATATTGTAAAATATTGCTCTTAATTTATATATTCTATATATTGTAAAATATTGCTCTTAATTTATATATTCTATATTTTAAGCTTCACCAGAGATCGTTTTCTATACAAATAAAGATTGTCACATCAATTTTCTAGCCCTTTTCCCTTTAAACATACGAGAAAACAATTAAATAATAATAAATAAAAATGCTAAGAAGCCCTAATAAAAATTCAAATCAAACAAGTTTTCGTTGGTCTATCACTTAACCATCATCTTCAAGCCAACAGATTTTTGGCTCATAAAAAAATGAACAAACTGGCAATATTCTCAGTTGTACAAAGGCATGTAAATAATTTGTAGACAAAAGACAAACAGAACCATATTCAGAAATGGCAAGGCAGACAAAGACCACACACAGCCAACTAAAGCTGGGAAAAAATAAAAAAATAATAACAAAAAGATATACAAAAATGGAAATAAAAAACACCTTGGCAAAACGTAAGGCAATAAAAAGTAAAGTTCCTTTTCATTTTATGACAGAGCCGACACTTAATAAACAATAATCATAATCTCGAGAGGAGCAGATTTTGATCTCCACTGCAATCATAATTCCTTTATTTTATTTAGTTTTTAGTTTTTTTATGATTTTTATTAAGCATTTATATCATATTTTTGTGCCAACGAGATTTGCATTTTGATGAATTGCAGGCGAAAGATGGAGAACCAGACTGGAGAGTAACCTGTAGTAAGTCATTTTTCGCGACACTATCTCAAAGTGCCAGTAAAAAGATCGAGGGGTCTATAGTGCCAGGGCAACTTCTGGTCTCTTGTGTGACTTGAAATTTAAATTAACCTTTTGGTCTGCTCTTTTTTTCGACTCTTCTTCGGCGGCGGCGGGTAATTATTTTTTCATTTTGCGAGTTAGCTTTGGTTTGGATGTGAGTTATTGTGCAAATTAAAATGAACGATGTGTCGGTAAGGTCGCCTTTTGTTGTCGTAGCGCCAACGATATGGTTCCCCCCTCTCAGCAGACCCTGAACCTGAACCGCAAGTGCGATGTTTCTGGCGTTTTTCTATATTTCTTTTTTTTCCACATCTTGTTTGGCTGTCTAGCGCGTACATGATGTGACTATGATTCGTGTTCGCCATGAATTTGCCCTGTCCATGGCGGTCGAGGCGATAAGAATCTTTCCCGAGTTCCCGCGACGAGAGCGGTCCAGATGAAAAGCTCCGGACTGGCGAAATATTGACCAAGTGTCGGGGGAACGAAGGGGAGGGGTTGTACAACCTGACAGCGGTAAGTGATTAACCTTTTACATGGATCCGTCTCCGTCTCCGTTCCTGATCCAATCTAAATTCATAAGACAAAAGCGGCAATTTTGGTCGTGTTTTTTTTGTTACTTTTTTTTCGGGTTTTCTCGGTTAGTGACTCAGTTTAGAGAGTGCCGTTATGCGATTGCGCTGAACTAGTTGCCATTTAATCGGAGGTCAAGCATCTTGATTTATTAATTGGCAAAATGATTGAGCGACGTTTTGCCAGAGGCCGGAAATTGAATTTTAGTTGACTTCCTTTGGGTTTCATTTGTGTTTAATATCCTTGGTGGGATTAATAAGATAAGAAGATACTCTTCTCTTGATTCAAAATTATTACTGTATTTAATAAAAGATAACTAAATAATTAGATAAATAATGGTGTCACTTCTTATATTCATTAA